AGTTTATGTGAAATATCACCCATTACTGGGTGATGTTCTTTTAAATTATGAAAATAGTAATTTGGTACAGGGACAGTTTTGCATTTTAATAGTCCATTTTACAGCTGTGGGCTTGGTTGCTGAGCCTTTTAACAGGAGTGAGGCTTAGGGTGATCTTGTTATGATACAAATCTTGCTGCTTTTCAAATGCAAATTGCCATGTTATTATGCTAATTAGATACTGGTTTCTATCACTACAAGGTTACCTTTAGCCTCACTCCAAATCAAATCAAAGTACACAACTGTAAAATGGCCTATTGTGGTCAAGCTTGCTTATTAAGTACAAGCAATTTAGCATCAACAGACCTACCCTACTAGTTAAGTTCCATATTGCAAGTAAAAATACAATGATGCCATGTTAGGTACTTAAGTTATTGAAATATCAATATTGATATTGAAATTCAATATCGAGGCACAAAATAGGCAAGATTGCACAACACAAAAGGTTTAATGGAGCATCTCAATTACCACATGATCGATCACTGAATGATCAGTAAATATCAACTAATACTGGTTGAGCAAATGGTGAGTAAATCTGACCACAAAAACTGCTTAGAGTTACATCACACATATGCATTCATCTATTGCTAAACAGTAAGCTTGATCATGGACATAAATATGACAGCAATCTTCACAGTCATGAACACCACTTAAGCAGTGGTGAAAATAAGGCAAAAAAAAAAATTCAGGCCTCAATGGGATTTGAACCAACAACCTAGATCAATGGCCCAGTTTGTTAGCACATACACACAAACGACATTTGCATTCTTAGAAGCAATTTGTCTTCCCTCCAAACTCTCTATTACCTTTTTTGCTTGTCATAATATCTTCACAGGTTTTCTTCTAGACAGCCTTTCGTTTTTTAGTTAAATATTATGTTTGAGTATCATTTTCTTATTTGCACATATATATATCATATAGGAAGTGTGTATTTATGAAAATGTAAGTTAATTAGTAATCTTGCAATAACCAAGGCTGTGTTTGTCCCAAACATTGTTTGGATTTTTGCTTTGTGGTTTATATAATTAGAGACACATCGTTATACAAAACAACTGTTGATTTTCGAATGGGGATTAATGACTTCAATGTCCTACAATTCATCAACAGAGAAAAAAATGAAAGGATATTTTTCTAACAACAACAAAAAATAAATAAATAAATAAAACAATAGTAATAGCAGAAAGAAATCAAAACCTTAAAAACTTCACTTATTAAAAACAGTACAGTTAGCCAAGTTGAGCACAAAAATCCAAGACAACGAGTGATTGTAAGATATACCTCTGTAGTCATTGGCTGGTAAATTCTTGAAAATTTTCCCATCTCAACTCACCTTTGGAAGAATTAATTCAAGCAATTAGTGAATTTATTTCAATCAAATATGAAATACCAGTAATTAAGTTTTTTGGTAATTAATATATTTAATTGCTTGCTTCGGACAATAATATCAACTGGAAGTCAAGTGTAGGCTTAAAAGAAATAAAGTTTACACACTTAAGTTGGGAAGATTCTTTTATATTTAAGGGTGATTTTAATAAAATAATTATTCCAATCGCGCTTGTTGGATATGAGATGATTAAAGCCAATTAGCCCCTCGTGGGCTATCTATCATCTCATATCCAACGCATGCTTAGGAATTATTATTTCATTTAACTCCCTGGCGACCAATGCACCGATCAATTCGAAGTTTCAATATCCCTCACCGCTTCCCCCGAGCAACCGACGGCCATGCTCACGTCGTGCGGAATTACAACAGCTCTATCGTGAACGACAATACAAAAACAATTTAAAGTAAGCCTTACAGGAAAGCTAGTTCTTAACACGATCATGCTTTATCTTAAATGGATTGCAAACGCTACTGATGTTTCGATCATCAGCGCGATCACCACATTAAATCGTCACTTTGAATAATCCTTTCAACCCCTTCCGAGGTTAATACAAATTACATTTTTCGACTTTTTGTGAATTCGACAGCTGTAACATGTAAGCTAAGCTTAGCCTATCAGTACAGCGAAGCGGTAATACACTGCAAGCCAGATTCAAGTAAAAGCTATCCGATTCCTAAGCAGTTAAATGCAGGAACGTCTTTTGTGCCGGAAATCAGAGAAACTTAGGACATATTAACAACATTAATAGGAGAAAATTTTGACCGAGAAGCTCGAATATTTACCTCATATTCAAAATATGTCACACCACGGAAACGTTCTTTATACCTGTAGATCTTTATACCTGTAGATTTGTAGTGTAATTCGAAAAGGACGCGACGTTTGACTGTGTCAAGACCTTGCTTCCTCAATCTGCCAGACAGATGTCTTAATAAAAGTCACTATAACTGATGAAGTACCAAATAAGACTCGACAGGTATGTTATGGAACGAAAAATTGCAATTAGAAGCAGCAAACGTGCCGACTCTGCTATTGTTTAAGTATTAGGTTCTGTTTGCAATAAAAGGGGGAGTCCCCTAGACCATGATTCTGCGTAAGCTTGAAGTTCATGACGGGCCGTTGAAACCGGAAGTGCTA